ACAATAATTGGGAAAAGTTTCATATAGCACATGTTGGTTAAATACCTTTCGGGAAGGTAGCCGTATAGGAAAAAGTGGGGTGGCTTAGAAACATCAACCTCAATTAATACTCTAGCAAAGTCATGATTAGTTCTTTCTTGAGTGACATTGTCCGTTGTTATTGGGATTTGGGACCCCAACCATGGAAGCCACTTCACTCATAGCCCCATTCCTTTAAGAATTCTTCATCCTCAAACGAGAAATCTTCTGACAGTACTTGAGCATCAAAAGTTTCCCAAAGATGGTGTAGGGTCCTTCATGTAAGACTTTAGTTCTATCCACTTCACTTTGAAATTTGAATATAATCCATCACTTGTCTGGATTTCTTTATCCGCGGCACACTGGAGTATCTGGCACCCTATGATTTTTAGCATCCAGAACCATCCTAACAATACTTTCAACCATCAAGGCTTTCCCAGGTTCCTGCAATTCAATTACAGCGCTGAAAACATTCTTCGTAGCAATCCCAGTAACCTGTCTAGCTCCAGGGACTTCAATACCAACAATCCCAGTAGACCGTCCATTGGCAAAGCTACCAGCCCATGTGCTACCAGCAACAGGAAGAGCTGGGAACTCCACGTCAGTTTCTCAAGAATAGCAAATCGGGACCCGATCAGTCGCTTCGAGGATTCACCAGAAGACGGTTTCTTGCCTGCCATTACAGCGGTAGCTTAGCAGGAAACACAGCAGTGTATCCCCTGTTTAGGCTAGAATTAACCAACACGATATATATAAATCTCCGTCTCCAACAGCTCACCATTGCCTGGCGACTCTCAATCCATTTTCAGAAATTCAATTTCAGATATCAACAGCGAAGAAAACGTGAATATGCAGGCGTGAACAGTAAAACCACTCACTTGTGAAAGTGGTTTTCCGGATTCCCGCCATCTCCACTCTCTGGAAAACAGTATTAGAGGTGCGTCCAGTGATGGAGAACACCAAACCAGACTCAAATTGTTGAAACAATCGTCAAATTCGAAACACAATCCCAAACTCAAATACGAAGTGAACTGTAAAATTCGCGATAAAGAGCTTGCTTTCTGAGTTTTTGGCCGTAAATCTTCCTTCCAATTTCAAATCGAAGGTCTGAAATGGGTTAAGGAACAATTTCCGACCAATAAACAGAACAAACCGGACTCAGAACGCACAATCCAAACAACTGTAAGCCCCATAGCACACAAGAACCAAGGTCAGATATTCGGGGAGAGCAGAACTCTCAACTTGCGCTCAATTGGCGTGGGCGTGAGAAGAGGGAAACCATGGAAGTTACTTCCGTGAAGCTAGCCCACGAACGAGACCACCCACGTCTTAACAGGGCTAGGATCCGATTAATGAGAGAGAGGTCGTCTTAAAGTGAACGGGAGTTATGCGACGGAAAGTATTAGGAAAAATCAATTCCTTTAAAAGAGTACACACAGTAAAACACATGGTACAACCTCTTAAAGCTAGGTGATTACACCAACATTTTTTTATCCCTAAAATACCCTAACCCCCATTGACAATTACTCCGTATAAGATTTTATTATTATTCCCTCCGTCCCACTTAAATTGTCCCATACCATATTTGACAAAGTTTGTTTGGCTCTAGACCATTCTTACTTTATTCTTACTTTATCAATTAATACCAACCACACAAACCCACTTTTCTTAATAATCGTGTCACCCTCTTCCGGGACAATATAAATGGGACGGAGGTAGTATAAGATAAGAAATGTATTATATGAAAAAGTGTTTGAATATGAAAAATATTAACCAAAAAAGTGTATAAATGTAAAAATTATTATACAAAAAATAAATTCGGTAGTAATTTCAGTTGAAGAAAAAAAAGTAATCATATTACTCTCTCCATCCCATTGGACTTTGCCAACTTTTCCTTTTTGGTTGTCCCAAAAAACTTTTCCACTTTTCTATTAAAGCAACTAATTTGTGGTATCACACATTTCTCTCTCCTCTGCACAAATCTCAACCACACAGTTTTTACTGCTCTTATTTCTCACCTACTTTGTACTTGGCAAAGACCACCTAGACGGAGGTAGTAGTATATAATTATGAAATACAATATACTCTGTACTTATTTAATGTGATCAATAAAAGATTGTAATAAATTGGTAAAGGAAAAAATTTAATTCAATTTTAGTTTTATTAGTTAAAGATAAAGATAAATAAAATCACAATTAATTTTTAATTTTTGGTGAAGAGGGGAAAAGAATTAAAGAAAATAAAAAACTGAAGACAAAGAATCCTAGAGGGCTTGAGGGAAAAGAAAGTAAAAGATTCGTAGTGCTTGTAGAATGAGAGAAAATGTATTGACTTAGGAAAAAAGAAAGTCCGTATTTGGTACCAATATATCATGTGTATGGTATATCGGCACCACGGTATAATAAAGTAAGTATTAACTCCTCCATGGGTCCCAACTTCACAATTCTATTTTAGTTAATAAGTAGACTTTTAAATATTACTAATAAATTAATCATCAAATATTAAAAATAATATAAATATAATAATGTCAATTATTATCAATGACCACATCAAATTACTTTTGAAAATATACTCAAATTAATTATTAACTTATTTAAGTATTATCTAAATAATGGTGCTATTTTTTAACAAGTTCAAGCGAGGACGCAAGTAGTACTGTAGTAGTATTTATTACACCAGCCAATTCAATCCATGGAATGGAAGAATTGAATGAAGCTATGCGTGCGCACATTCCTCTTTAAAAAAATACGGAGTAGAAGAGTTGAGTTTAATGTATTACGGAGTGGATTATTTATTACTAGAACTACTTTGATATCGCTATCATAATGAATGAAAAATGGATACTCCTTCCGCCCCGTAAAGGTATTTACCGGAATTTAAAAAAGTATAAATAAAGTAAAAATGTATAATTGTGATTGAGTAAGAAAAAAAGGTAAATAAATGATACCCAACAAAATTTTCTAAAAAGGGAAACGAGAACTATTTTTTGGGACGACCCAAAAGGAAAGTGAGAACTATTTTATGTGATGGGGGTTGTATGAATAAACTATTGATAATGAATACGAGTAAAAGATAGTATTAGGGGTGGACTCGGGTCGGGCCAACCGGCCCGGACCGGTACTGTTTGTACCCGGCTCGGACCGGTAACCGGTCTGGGTGCCGGTTCGGGCTACCCGACCTGGTCAGATAGCGGTCCGGGCTCGAGCCTACAGAAAAGTGAACCGGCCCAGCCGGGCCACAACGGCCATTTTTAATTTTTTTAAAATAATTAAATGCTTCTAGCCGTTGGGAGCATAGGAGGGGGGGGGGGTCTAGGGGGTTTGGGGGTGGGGCTGGGGGTGGGGGTGGGGTATACAAAAAAAACTATTTATACTCTTATTTTCTATACATTTTTTACACCTATTCTTCTACAACTCTTCATACTCTCTAATTCTCTATTCTCTCATATTCAATCATCTTCATTCTTCATCTTCTCCAAATTCTTTCTACATATATATAATTTATATAATTATTATATCTACTTATATATTAATTATCTACTTATAAATATATACTTATATATACTTATACACATTCATATTTACTTGATATTTAGTTATTATCCATACTATTTTTATTTACTTATATTTACATATTACATTTAGTTAAATATACTTATATATATATATATATATATATATATATATATATATATATATATATATATTAAAGTATTAAGTATAAGTGTATTACTCATCTTATAGTAATATACTTATATATTATATACTATAAACATTATATTATATATTACTTATAATATATTTACACATTATATATACTATATATACTTATACACATTCATATTTACTTGATATTTAGTTATTATCCATATTATTGTTATTTACTTATATTTACATATTACATTTAGTTAATATATACTTATATATATATATATATATAGGGTGCGGTTCCAGTGAGAACGATGCTTAACGTGAGAACGTGAGAACACTCACAATTAACCCAGCGTGATACACAATTGAGCCCGTCAGGTGCACATTTGGGTTTAGCTCAAAATAAGCCTATATAAATAATGACGGTGGCATTTTAGTAAATACTGTGCCGAACGCGAAAATGTGCATTGGGCGAGCCTCATTGTGCATCACATTTGGGTAAATGTGGTGTTCTCACGTTCTCACGTTAAGGGTTGTTCTCATTTGATCCTAAATCTATATATATATATATTAACTATATTACATTTAGTTACTATATATATTTAGTGATCAGGTCCAGTCGGAGGGACGGGAGGCGCCGTCCGAACTCCGCCGTTTGGGGCGGTTCCCGGTGGAATTTTTTGATGAAATTTTTTGAGCATGTTCTTCATCAAGTCTAGTTTGTTCATACCAAATTTCAGCTCAACATTCGACCGGGAAGGCATTCAAAAGGATTTTATCAAAGATGGCTAAGCAAGTGCTAGCAATGCCGATATCAACCGTTGACGTGGAACAAGAATTTAGTGCGGCCGGCAACATCCTAACCGATTATAGAACGAGGTTGAGCCCGAGCTCTCTTGAGACGCTAATTTGCTTCCACGATTGGTTGAAGGCTCAAGGAAGAACTCAAGAAATGATCATCACTCTCACCCGCCACTTTATGGAATTATGGAGGAAACAACCACCGAAGGTGGAAATTCCGATTGATTATTTTTTACAAAATTTATTACATTTATTAAATTCATCCTAATTCTCAATTGTACTTCTTATTTGAAATAAATATACTTGAATTTTTTTTATATTATTGTGTACATCAATTCAAGAATCAACAAAAAAAAATTACAAAGCCCGGAACCGGCCCGGCCCGGTGAACCGCCGGGTGGCCCGGCCCGACCCAGAACCGCCAGCCACCCGGGCCGGTTCCAGTTCCCATTTTCCCAAACCAAGGCCCGGCCGGGCTCAGGCCCGAATCGGAACCTGTCCGGCCCAGGTCCATCCATAGATAGTATAAGGAATCGAATGTCGAGATCAAATTGAATCATACGGAGTACATTTCTATTAAAATATACTGTACTACGTAAGAACTACGTAGTATATAAAAGTAAAAGGAAACAACTTAACATCATAACAAAGTTTACTGCACTACGACTTTATATTAAATATATATAAGACAGTTTACGATACTTCGATTTTATATTAACTGCATATCCTAGTATTTAGCACACATTAAATGACTAATTGGACAATGTTCTACCACGCAATGTGCAACTGAAATCAGTGAAAAAGGGCAGGTGTTAGTGATCCTCAAACCAGTACAACAAACAAGATTCTTTCTGTTGGGGGTGAGGGGAGGGCTCTTTCACATAGAACCAAAGTCCAACCCCTTGATGATCTTGCGTCGCCACATGCCTGTTTCAGGATCAAACCTGATGTCCAATGTTGGCCAGTAGTGTAAATCTTGTTTCAATGTAAGCACTTGGTCCTTGCCATTCAATTTTACCGTTCTTACACGAACAAACTCCTCATGTTCTAATCCCTGACCATTTGACCACATCCATTATCAAAACATACCAATTATTAGTTAGTCTAGATGATAGTTGTTTTATTGAAAATTAGAATTAATTAATAGCATGTTCTTCATTGTTCTCTCAAGTACACACTACTATGCCTAGTTACTTAATTTGGTTCTTGGCTCTCTTTTTTGGACTCAATTTGTCATGCACTAAGGTATATAGATTTCCCTTGAGTACCGCTAAAATAAAACTATGCACAAAAATGTGATGAAAGGCGTAACATTTATAGTCATTGTGATGTAAAATTTAAATATAATTGTACTCCCTAAAAGTTGCCAATTCCCAAGTCACATTTTTGTGCATAGTTTTATTTTAGCAAGGACTGATGATCCGAGTATATTCAAGGGACCCAATCAAGTATTAATGCTTAAAATAATTGAAGAAGTAATGGCACACCTTAATAATCCCAATAAAAGCATCCAAATTAGGAGTTGATTTTCCATTTATTTCAACAATCCACCGAAGAGAATACAAACCATACCGATGTGCAGGGCTACCCCTTCTCCAACTGAAAATATGAAGATACCACATAAGCTAATGATTCATCTAGTTTTAGTTTGCATTTGATAGAACTTCATTTGGAGCTTTTAATTTACTTAGAGCTCCAAATGATGTTCTTTGGTAATAAATAGAATAAGAGACTAATAGAAGTTCGTATGTCAAAAGTATATCCTAAAGCATTTCAAATACAAGCTCACTTTTTATTTGTTCTCACTGGTAGCCTTATTCTATTATAAAATACCATCCATTATCATTCTTTAACCAGCATCAGGCTAAGGTTAGATCCTTTTACAATCATCAGAATAATAACCTGTAACTTTACCAAACACTTCCAACAACCCAACAAGTACCTACATACTCTTCAGCTTTTAGCTATTTTACAGCTTTTAGTTCCGAGAACAGGCCCTTAAGCTTAACTATTCATTTTCTCCAATCCTAAATTTCCATGGTCATTTCAGCTAGTTTTTTTTGTAACAATGATATGATTTCTATTTCTGTTAGAATATACCCAGTGTTTGGATGTCATGAAATTCGAAGATGAAACAAGCATAGAAAAAATTAAAATACTAACGTTGTCACATATACACCGTGGCCTTCGTTGGGAAGAAATCCAAGTGCGCGGACAGAAGGGTGAGGATATTGGACAGTACACCCACACCAATTTATTGCATGTGTGGTTCCATTACCATCCCTCATATCTGTTCCAACAAGTAGTTCCATTTCAGCCCCCTGACAGACATTTATTATCAACTTATAAGAAACAAACCCTCATACAAATGTGACCACACAAATAATACAAGTGTGACAAATGTCACAGTATGCACCTGACGAAATATGGTAATGCACAGTTTTCCATCACCACTATATAATGTTTGGCAAGCATCTTCAATGTCACGAAAGCAAGTAACTGGCTCCTTGTTGATGGCCAATAATATGTCACCTTGTTCTAGTAATTTTTCAGCACTTGAGCCAGCAAAACAACTTTTGACCTTTAAAGCCCGTCGTCTAGTAGAGTCTTTTTTCACAAGGGCCTGATACTCAAAAACATGGTAGTGCTACTATGGTCAAACAGTAATTTATCTATATCGGTATTATTAATGTTTCAATTTATTTATTAAAAGTTGGGAAACATGTAGCAATTTTCCAAACAGATCAACATGCAGAATACTTGTATACCACAGTTGGAACTTCAAACCACCATAATGATTTTCTTCAATCTACACATCCTTACATAAGCTCCTCAAAAATATACATTTTCTACCTACACCCATGGTGGTACTTTCCTAGATAAAAAACTAATGGGGTAGGTTGAAAACCAATAATCTAGAACCCTATTACAAGAATAAAGTAATGAAAAGAGCGCATGAGGAAATAAGCATTCCTAAAGTAGCTCACCTGGATCCAAGTGTCGCTTAATCCAAAAACACGGGCCTTGGAAAGTAATGTAGGATAAAGTTCAACTTCTAATATTCTCATTAGTGGCAAAGGCCTTCTGACACCATTTATAAGGCGAAAAGGTCCATTGGCACCAGAAATAATTTTTTCAAGAACTCGACTTATGGCATATATTGGAATTCCATGAACATCTTGATAATTTGTAACCGTACCAGAAGAATGCTTCCGCTGGAAATACAAATACACCCATCAAGACTTGCTTAAATGGAGAGAAGCACGTGAGAATTTATGAAAATGAGCATTTTTTTATATGAAGAAAAGCATGTGAAAAGCTATCAGAAAGAGCATACACCATCTTAAATTTTAAAAGCCTTCTAGTGGATAGTTATGAATGCCGACCTGGTATGAAAAGCTTCCCCATAAGGCTTGAACTCTTCCACGCTCATCAGTTAGCACGCCAGTAAATGTATTACCAAAATCTGAAATTGCAAGACAATAACACCATGTACATTTTATGAAGATTAAGAAGAATGCCTCCAGAAAACAATGAAAAACATCAAATCATGATGACTAAGATAGTAAAGACTGGAGAATCCAACATACCAGTGTCAAGCTCAATAACTTCCATGTTTATCGCTCTATATTGTGGACAATCGGTTGATTCAATATTCAGAGCGGCATAAGGATTTGTAACAATTGATTTCCTAGAGATTGCCTGCATGCTTGTGCTTAATCCCACAAGTGACACTGAATCACCACGACGAAGCAGGGGCTCTATTCACAGCAAATGAGAAGTTAATTGGCATTATATAGAATGGCAACACTGTCATATAACCCTGTACAATATGATTTGCAATGAAATCATATCCAGTTTGACAACATTCACTTTCGCTTTATTCTTTTTCTCAAGCAAACATCGAGATGCTTTCTTTAAATAAACGAGGCCAAGATCAAAAGGCTTGAGATGAATCTTTTTCTTAATTTCTAGTAAAAGGGTATATCCAAAAGTAGAGCCAAAACATTTTCATCACTGCTCCTAAACATATGCGCATAAAAAATAATCCAAAGTATGCAAGTTTGCTTTCCCGAGTTGGAATAGGAAACCATAATGAAAAGTATGTCATGCACATATACCCTGAATAAGAGCAAAAAGTTTTATTACCAGGGAGAAGCTCAACGGCATGAACTGCAGAGTAACCACCAGGTCCAAGTGCAGAAGGGTCATATGCAACAAGAGCAAAATTGTAGACAGGATCAAAGAAGACTACCTGTTAAGAAGAACGAGTTTTGCTTCAAAACAAACATTTTAAGTTTCACAACCCGAAACTCAGCATGAATAAAAAACTAACCTCCCCAGGTATTTCAATAGGAAAAGCAGCAAATGACAGAATGACATCGCAAAGTGATACTACAACAGTGTTCTTATCTACAGCAACCAGACCCATGCTTTGTGAGTGGTATACAATCACTCCAGTACCAAAAGATTGTAGCTTGTGGACAGTCTCCAGCATACATGATCCTGGAACATGAACCTACAATTTCGACACCATACAGAGTATGAAAAGAAATAAAATGGACAAAAGTTGTGAACATAAAAACCAACAATCAACTACAACGAAATTACTTAGGCCCATAATCTTTTCAGTTCTAATGAAATTAAACTTTACATATCTGAACTACAGTATTTCGTTCACATTATTTCTCGCGCTTCTAAATAGATCTCAACTACAGAGTTTTCAATTTCCCAAATCTGATGCCCAGTCGAAGTGGGCAATAGTTTCGGGACAGACGGAGTAATTAAATTAAGTACTACTCGATTATATGATTGCAAAAAGTACTTTCAAAATAATTTACAAACTATTTAAGTATTAAGTGAATAGTAAAATAACATGAATATATTTTCCAGATGGAAACCCTATCAGACAAATAAAGATCACATTGTGAAGCACAAAACAACACCAAACATGATACAATTATTTAATATCTATATCAAATTATTACAAAGCACAAAAATAATAATAGAATAGATACATTAAAATCCTACTAATACACAAATATACATAAGATATGCTCACAAGACCGAACAGTAACCTAGTAACATTTTTCCAATCCAACGTAATTGTCCGTTCTGGGTTTGTAATGGAAGAACGGTGGAGAAAATAGGAAGTACCATTCATCTATATGAATGCGTAATTGGTAAATAGAAATGGAGAAAAAAATCAGCCATTAGAGGAACTCAGGAACAGCATATATGTAGCTTTGTCTCTTTGTGAGTCAGGCATGTCAATGTAGAAGGCTAAACAATAGCTCCAATGGATCCTTCAATTTATATACTAAAATATACACATGCAGCCATGCGAGATACATATACATCCAACGTTGAAAACCAAGTCAAGGTGGCATAAAACTTGGTAAAAAACTTGGCCAATTTGACTTTTCTTGGTCAATGGTAAAAAATTTTAGAGAATGATTTTAGTTATTATATTTGTGTGATATTTATAACTTCTTTAACAAATAACATTTCCATATATTTCCCGTATTTTCAATAATTTCATATTAAAATATATCATTGGTCAAACATGACCATGATTAACCAAGAAAAACCAATATGACTAAGTTTTGCCTGACGGAGGGAGTAAAAAATTACTCCCTCCATCCCATTCAAAGGTTCTAACTTTCATTTTTGGGATGTCACAGCTTAAGGTTCTCATTTTCTATTTTCGGAAACAATTAACACTCTATATAATGAAATAGTACCTCACACATAACAAGAGTAGGCTCAATCACATGCTCAGCAACTGAGAAATTAACTGCTTCTGTTCCATCAGCGGATGAATTTTCTTCTACCATTCTTTTCTTTATACCAGAATCAATATCGTCCTGAGATTGAGGTCCCTTTACTGTGATTTCATAACTAGATTCCATATCTATAACACCATTGTTTGACACTTTGCTAACATGTTGAGGCAAACTATAACTCAGCAAATCCTTCTTGGCAGGAACTATGTCAGAAAGGAAAACACAGTCAGGCAGTACAGCCGGCTTAGTGAACCATAATCCAGAACCGTCATCACGAGTGTAAATAAGAGGAGGGGCATGCCACTCCTGGCGGTCGACTGTGACTAACACAGACTGCAAATATGGAGATTATCCAAGTCAGGCAATATGATTTAGAGGTAGTGGTCACGCAGAGGCAAGATAAGTTATTGTTAATACTTAATAGAATCTAAATGTCACAAGAGGTACTTGTATTCGGTGACGGTCTGTGCTGATTATGTACTCAAGTGGTACTCTTGAGCCCCTAGTCAAGTTAGATAGGACAAGTATCAACTCCTCAAGATTTGAATAACTTTGCCTGCGAATGTCTTAATGATTGAGTGTTTAGGAACCCCAGCTCTAGACAGCATATATCTGCAATTGAAAATAGTGCAATAGACAAGTGGTTACCAGTTATTGCAAACTAGCATAATGTTAATTTCCTAAAGGATCTACCACTGTAGATTTTATAGTCCAGATGCATTGTTTAGTACAAAGAAGTCATCAATTAAGATCCAAGGAACTTCACTAAGGGGAAAAGGTAAAAGTCATAAAAGTCATTATTTTTTAAGTTTAGTAAAAAATAAAATGGTGAAAGTTGAAGACATACCCTGACTCTGCAACATAGACAAGGCCACATTGAAGATTGAAATTTCGAGCCTGCATTAAAGATAGGGGAAAAGGCAAAAAAATCACCATGGGGACCGACATACACAAAAACCAACCAAGCAATCGAATAATATTTCAAATACTTACACTTTTAACCTTTTCAGAAAATTTTCATGTATTAAATATTTTGGATCGCAATAGACATAACTACATAACGGTTTAAAAATTTCAGCTCCTCAAAAAACAAGTGGTGAAAGGCCACCTACCGCCAGCTAGGGGAAGCAAATATAAAAGCCAGATGAGCGTAAAGGTGATATGAAATTGTGGTAACCCTAGGCACCCTAATACTCTAATATAGCTATAAATACAACTACTTGTATAGCATTTTGATATCAAGAATAATCAATATCATCATATTTTTCACATGTTATCAGAGCCAATATGGAAAATATAGTAATCTCTTTTCTTTCTTAAAAAAAAGAATAAAAAAACAGAAACCTAAAAACACATAAATAAATAAAACGTCTGTTGGTTTTTCTTTGTTTGCTTCGATTCCAATCGTCTGGATGGAAGCGCTAATCATCATTCATGGGCTATTCCCGTGGAGATGTGGTTCAAAGGACAAGGCAAAATCGATCACTTGATTACGGATACAAATTGTGTCAAATGAAAGAGGACCGATTGGGGGGCTATGAATGCATTGTAGTGCAACATTTTGTGGCTATCCATGATTTCAAAATTTCATCTTACATACCAATCATATCGGACGTGTAAACAGATTTGGAAAAAAGCAAAGTCCAATCACACTAATGATATTCAAAATCTGTTTTCATTCGGCTCCAAAATTGCCACGTTCAAACAACGGGACTTGGAAATTCAAGTTTTACTAGGATGTGGTGAGGCTTTACTCTTTGAATATAATAGCATTCGACCAGTCACAGACGATAGAGAGAAATAACTAGAACAACGACAACAACTTGTTATGATTTTAGCCTTAGCAGGTCTTCATCCAGAGATGTTATCAATACGTGAGCAAATTCTCTCTAGTTCAACTATTCCTAGACTCCTAGTATGACAGAAGCTTTTGCCCGAATTCTTCGAGTGGCCCTGATATCTGCTAAATGTGGTTCTAGTCACTCTATCATTCTTGCATCCCAAGGTCTGGGTCCTGACGGAGGAAATAAAAAGGATACCCACGGCGAAATCGTCCTAAGTGTGACTTCTATACGGCGAAATCATCCTAAGTGTGACTTCTATCATTAAATTGGTCATACTAAAGACATGTGCTGGAAGTTACATGGGAAACCTTCAAGCTAAGCCGATGTTGCTTAGATCTCGCCATCTCTGGTTGTTCTACATCTTGCTAAATATGCAGCATATCAGAAATTTAAGTCGAGTAATATACTTTATCTACACCTGGTACATCTACCACTTGTGTTTCAAACACCACAGGCTCATGGATCATTGACTCAGGTGTATATGATTTCTATGCGCTAGCTTGAGGGAGAGTGTGGAATCCCTAGTTGTATTGGGCTTAGCTCATTTCGTACAGGAACTCTAGTAGTCTAATATAGCTATCAAAATAACTACTTGTATAGCATTTTGATATTAAGAAAAATCAATATCATCATACTTTTCACAGGAATATATAACAACAAATACATAATAAGTTGTATGCATTTGATATGTAATGGGATACATTGAGTGGATGAAAGACATCCTTAGAAGAATGAAGAGCCTCACAGCAGGCTCGAGCAACAATAAGGTTATAACTTTTAAGATCTAAGGTTTCTTCAACACTTCCTAGCTAGAACATTTACATGTTCCAAGATTGAATTAAAACAAATTAAACACTTCACCTGCCTTGTACTCTACCTTTTCTTGGGATGACATAAAAACTTTATATTTTTATAAGAGGTGATAAATATTAAAAACCTGTTGATATGAAAGGGAGTGTATCACTGCACCACTAACTTCCAAGAAGCAGTCAGGAGTTATTGAGTGCAAATTCTGGACCTGAAATTAACCACGCAAGTCAATTACTCCCTCATTCTGGACTGGCATAGCATAATATAACTCGTCAACCAAAACTTACTAACGTTTACATACACAAAGAAGTTACACAGAACTGTCCAAAAATATGCATCGTCTATTATATGATGCATGGATTAGCAAATGACTAGAATAAAAGCTTGGTGATGACCATCCGAATCACAAACTCACCACTAATTCAATAATCAATGAGGCACCAGCTCTTTCAATTTTAAGTTCGACATTCTGTCCAACACTGTCATCAAGTAGAGTTTCCATCTCGAGGAAATGTGTAGTCACCTGCAACAGATGTTCCTTGGAGAATGATATTGGGATTAAAAAAACAAATCATAATATCTCATGGCCACCACATGAACATAAATAACGACAACAACGGTCTTATGAAATGTAGCTTGAAATTTGAAATTAACAGAACAATTGATTACTGGGTGTTAAAAGTAATTCTTAATTATTATCATCATCCACAAATGTTTGATCATCATCATTTTTCATCATTTTCATTTACCCCAGTGCCGCAAAGGCTCCCACCTACGGTGTGGTAAGGGGGGTCGGATGTACGCAGTCTTACCCCTGTACTAAAGCAGGGAGAGACTGTTTCCGGATGACCCATAGTGAAAATCGCGTCCAAAATTGCATGGAGTGACTGCTGCTTCATAACAAAGAAGCGCAGACAGTTTAGTGAGCCATTTTGCTTTATTCCATCTTATTCTCAAGCCAAAAAATAATGAATCTTTGGCTCCATTGCAAATGATGGACTATCCACAAATGTTTGATGGACGATCAAATTGTGACAGAAATTCTGCACAAAATATTTGAAAGATTTGGAATAGCTCAAATTGTTCTTTCATTAAGAATAACCGCGTGTACGTGAATACTCATCTATAAAGACAACAAGATAATGGAAAGACAAGGTAGATTTCCATTATACAGACCCAAACATCAGTTTGAACTTTGAACTAAATCAAAAGGTGATATATCCCTATTAATGACTCTCAAGTGTGATTGGCAGGGTGTCTTTCCAGGATGACACTACTTACAATCTTGGGAACACTCTTCCAAGTTTTGAGACAATCGGATCACCTAAGAAGTAGTGTAAGATAATTGCTGACTTAGCATACACACAACTGACCCGAACAACCAGATCAGAATGAAGATAATAGAGGCCCTAAGAGTGACACTCAACACTAATCACTTTCTTCGTACAACAGTCCTACACAACCAAAGAATCAGCTGAAAATGTTATAGAACTATTGATTGAGAAAGTAACTTTGCTAATAGACACAATATTAAATGGGCTATTAAGAAAATAATAAGATATCTTCCAAGGGTAAGGATGGCTCGGAAAGAGACTGATCTATGATTATGGTTGGGTTTGATGTCTATTGGCAAGGATGAATGTGGTAAATCATGAGGTTTAGTTAGATTAGATAAAACCTAGTTATTACCGGAGATATTATCGGAAGCTCCTTAATCAAGTATCCACAAACTAGAAGTGTGAAACACAGGCTGCGACACACCTCGTGATTCTTGAAATAATTGATGCCTCGAACTTTTGGCACTCTTCAAATTCAGTTGGTAAAAGTAGGGTTCGGTTCGGTTTGGTTCGGTAACTGAAGCAACAATATGACGAACTGGATTGATGCTTCGATTTCTAGATTTCATAAAACCAAAACCGAACCAATTTCAATCGGGATCCGATTCTTAGGTAACCAATTTTCCGGTTCAGTTTTACCTAAAATTTGGTTATCCATCAGTAATTTTTACTTAAAATAGACAGCTGCTCTGGGCTACCAGCCTGCTCGAGGCGAGACGCTCTAGGAAACCATGCCTACTGGAGCAATCTAGCTTCACAAGGAAAAATGTTACAACTTGGGAAATTGAACTCTGGTGGAATGCAAGGAGAGGGTTTGCTTCGAGCAAGCCACACGAAAAAGTGATGACATGTTCAAGTTATTCAGATATTATTATACTCCATGATGAATTTTACATATTAGTACTATTAGTACAGTTATTATTCTATTATTACAATTATAGTTATTGTTTTTGTTGTTGTTTTTAGTTTTTGTTATTATTATTATTATCATCATCATCATCTTCATCGTCATGTACCTATTATTTTATTTATAGTTTTTCAAGTAGAGATTGAATCACGAAACAGAACTCAAATAAGTGGATTTACTCATTGACCTAAAACATCAGTTATAAAATCTGGTAATGTTTAATTATTGGATTTCCATTCGTCAATATAAATCAGTTAACTTTACAATGATAGTTGATAATTATTACTATTATTATACGGATTAGTATCTTCATTAGTAGTGCTATTGTATTATTACTAATTGTATTATAATTAATTATATTATTACATTATTATTATAAGCAGTACAATCAACATTTCAGAACATATTTTTTAAATAATTACATATAACATGTGTGGTTTTTCAACTTCATTTTAGTTAGAAAAATGTAAAAGTATTTAACTTTTTTGCATGATACTTTCCAGTATGAAAATAGCTCTAGAAATAATTAAAATATATATATATATATATATATATATATATATATATATTAGTAATTAATAAAAAAAAGCGGTTTAGTTCAGTTTAAACTGTCTTTTTACCTTCAAGAACCGTATTGAAACAAATTTATAGTTCCATTTTCATTATTTCGGTTTAAAATGCCACTCATAGGTAAAAGCACAACCAGATATGGAGGAAAATTGACTATGTTTTTATTGGAGTTTTTTTGTGGAGTAAACACCATAAATGAAGACACAAGTAGGTGAGGTGTGACATGATTAGCGGCGGGAGCTTTGATACCAAATTTGAAGGTCACGACGATAGATGAGCGAAAGGGATAGGTGTAACAAAAACCTCATGCTTGGTGTAGTAGTGTTTGGTAGTACATGCACGATGCAAGAGTTGTCAAGCTCCTACTGGTGGGTCGCGAATGCCCAAATGAGAACAACGGTAGACTGAGATTGGTCAGATCACTGCCTGAAGTACTCCATCATCAACAGTGGCAACTATTCAGCCAAAAATTAATATTTACGCCAGAAGTGAGAAATTGATGACTAATATTTGCTAATATTGGTTCTGATACTATGTGAAAGTCTCCCTCAAAAAAAAAAATACTATGTGAAAGTAAAGAACGTCTTTATTCATGTATCAAAAGGAAGTGTAAACTACAATAAGGGTTAACATAGCGGGTAAAGCCCAATACAGTTAGGGTTAGAATTTTAACACATCATATGGAACACTTAGCACAATTCATATGTTTGACAGGTTAAATGCTAACACTAACCTTCCCATGCATACAAACAAGCACATCACCGGGCTTTAAGTGATTATAAGCTGGGCCACAAGGCACCTGAAACAAATCAAGATTTCTAATAAAACAGGAATATACAAGAAATAAGATATGTCTTACAAAAGCACCAAGATGACATACCACGGAATCAACAACAAGCATTCCAGTTTCCCCTGGACGAGATGAGCTTCGTACCAACTAATTTTTAAGAACCATGATATTAGTGTTTTTGTTATTATTAATTAGAGGTGCATAAAAATACATAAACCATCGGTTCCATATACCTGTTCTGTTTCACTTTGAACCCCAAGGCGACGGGTCTCATCAAATCCTTTGTGGACAAATGTAACCTATACAACACATTTCCAACCGTGAATTTTTACCATTACTAGACAGGGGGGAAAGTGGGAGAAATGAAGAGTTTCGTTGAAATGGAAAAGAAATGGAATGCAGATGCTAGTGCCCTTTGAAGTAAAAACTATGAAAGAAAGAAGGTTTTTTCCAATGTGCTAATTGTGAATTTCATTTAGAATTTTATAAACAAAAAACTGCAAAGAACATTAATGACTCAATAACCTCCAGTATTATTAATGGATATGTTTTATTGTAAAGAAAAATGTGACTCATTAACTTCCAGTTTTGTTAATAGATATGTGAACACGAAATTTCATATATGCAATATCGTGAAACAATGTGAACAATGACTAATGAATATGAAGTATCGCATCTCAAAATGAAGTAAATGACCCGGGATAAAATTGTTTAAACTTTGAGAAAGAAAAATCATTTAGATTGACATCCAGTCAATCATACTCTAACCACAGTACCTCACTTCTCAGTCTAAACACAAAGAATAAATATTACAAAAGCTTTAGAAGGATAAATCTTCACAGACCTGAAGCGTGCCACGAGGAATAGATACTGCCTCCCATTTGTGTGTAGAATCTCTTCCTTGTTGTAAGAAAACTAAAGCCCTGACAACCTAATCCAAATGAAAATCATACTCATTGAGCACTTTCAAGAAATGTAATTAAAAATCAAAATCTTCAATCCAAAAAAAGGGTAAAAGAGATTGAATTTGAATTCATTGCATGACAGCAGAAAATTGAAGTGCAAACTAAAAGTGTATTTTAATCAGTCCATTGCTACAAATCTGAAAGAATATGCAATCATAAAACTACAATTTTTTGTCACTTATCTTAAGCATAGATTAAGCATAGATACTTCTATAAATACTACGAACTATAATATTATCTTACTCGGTCTAACGGAAGGAAAAAGGCAGAGGCGCCTGATGTATTGCCCCCTGCATTTAAAGCAACTGCTCTGCCCTGCCAGTCAACTACTGGAGATCCACTTGAACCACCTTTAGTCCCAGATGCAGCCTGTGGTGTAAGTAACAAAAGAGAAGATTAAGTCATAAAACTTAGAGTATCTGGTAGGTGAAACAACTTATAACTATTTAGAGCCCATGAAAAGGTTATAAGATTGTGAAGCTTACTTGTATGTAGAATGTATTGAAGTCATTGTAGCCATTACTGCACCCCAAACACAAATCATCATAAAAATGCAACATGTGTGGAAAGTTTACACCACAGATCATAGATATATATTACGTATAAAATAGGCCATTTGAAGTTTGCTTCCTAGTTCCTAATGACATATGTATAATCAATAGTACTCCATATTAAATATTTAAAAAGCTCAAGCATAAACTACAAAAACCATTTAAATCCATGTTAAATCTTAATCTGTGTTCGTAATTTTGCAATGAGGCAGTAGTTTTCAGGAGATGGTATGAATGAGGCTAAACCAATTCCAGAAATACCAAGGCTTGCACAATATGCTACTGAGGCGTAAGCAAAGCAGCAAGGAAACCATGCAGATCTCCCTTTAGTCACTTCAGAAACGTGAAAACGTAATGGAAACTTCAAATTTATGAATCCGTGCAATTCCATAATGGTAATTTGCTTTTTTTCTTTTTGATCTCTTGACGGAAAGTAGTGTTTTATACTGCAACATATAACTATCAAAAATAAATTTATAAATATATCAAAGACTGCTAAATTTTGTAGTATAAATTTTGGATTGGACATGACTATAGCAACTATTTCAACTCATCTTCATGTCATAATCTTTTTAATGAAGTGGCAAACTTATTATTAGAGTTTCAAAATTCGATCTCGTTTTTAGTTCATAAGAAGAAGATTGTGGCAACAAGGGCATCCACTGTAAAATTTCATTACTGTGCTTATTGCATGAATTTAAAACATTAACTAAATTAAATCATTAATTGACCCTATAAGTTGGAATTGAGGTGTTGATGGTGGTGGTGGTGCGCACAATGTCATATTTAGATGTACATAAAAGGGGTGTAGTTAGGGGAAGGCCTAGTAAGGATCTGCCCACCCCAAATTTGAAAAAGAGGAACTTGTGTTTTATATGTAAAAATTTATCTAAAAAACTCTTTGAACCGGTCCTCTATAAAGAGTTCAGGAAGCTCTTGCCCCTAGCTACGCCCCCGTAAACATACACCTACCCAAAAAATCATCAACCTAAAATAGAATAGAGAGCTTCAAAAGAGAGGGTACATACTACATGTAACTAGGAGCATCTCTATCTAAACGAGCAAGGGTGCCGGCCAAAATAGATACCTGAAAATTAATCCACAAATAGAAGAATAATATGGTATATGTTTCTGACAGGGGATTGTTTTAAAGGACATTATTATAAAAACAGAAGCATGGTCTAAGTCTCTAAGACTCTTATTCTCAACTGCATGAGCCTGAGAAACTAGACATGGAATTTCGATGATTCAACAAGGTAGGTTACAACATTTCTGTAACAGGATTTCATAACTTCAGCTTGGGAAGCCTGTAAATATAAACACTACCAAAAAACACTACTATTTCCCACCAAAAGGAAAAACTGTCAAATAAGTTCACGTACTTTTAACAAAAAGTCAATTGAATTCATGTCCTTCTTTTTTAGTCAATCAAGTTCGCGAAGTATAAAAAACGACCAAATAAGCTTTTTGATATGGCATGAGGAAAACCGACAAATAGGTCCTCGAACTTTCATAAAAAAGTCAAATAAGTCCTTATATAGAAGGGTCTGTCCGGCCGTCGTGATTTGGGCCGGTTCCCGGTTGAATTTTTTGATGAAAATCTTTTAGCATCTTATTCATCAAATCTAGTTTACTCATACCAAATTTTAGCTAAAACTTTAATCGGGAACGCATTCAAATTAATTCTTGAAGATAACTGCGCATTTAGCTGCACAGTTATCTTCCAGAATTAATTTGAATGCCTTACCGATTTAAATTTTAGCTGAAATTGGTATGGGCAAACTAGACTTCATGAATAAAATGCTCAAAAAAAAATTCATCAAAAAATTCCAACAGGAACCGCCCCAAATTGCAACGGCCGGACAGAGTATAAGGATTTATTTGACCTTTTTATAAAAGTTCGAGGACCTATTTGATAGTTTTCCCCTAGGGAATGTATAGTAACAAAAAGTCAATAGAGTCCATGTGTCATGTGGGCGGTGTTTTAGTGTTTTCCAATTTTTTACTTTTCCTTTTTCTTTTTTCCTTTTTCTCTTCCCTTTTTCTCTTCTTCTTTTCTCTTCCTTCATTCTTCCTGGTCCGCACCTCTTCTCCTTCCGGTCCGGCTGTCCCCTGCTTGATCTCCCTTCTCCTTTCTTTCTTGCTTTCTTTCTTGTCTCCCACTGGAACGAACTCCACCGCCCCGGCCTTTCTAGCCACCACCTCCGCTTTCCAGCCTCCATAGCCACCTCTCTGGAGTCCGACATTCACCTCAACCACCCCTTCCTCCATACACACCGCCTCCAGCAACCGCTCTGTGGTCTTCCCCTTCACCTCCTCCATTGAAGCGACCTTCAGTCGCGCCGACTTCCATAGTTGTCTCCCTTACCACCGTACCCACAGCTTCCGACTTCCACCTCCACAGTCCCCAACTACGCCTCTTAAATGAAACGACCTCCAAACACCCGATCTCCATAGCCGCCGCCACCACCTCCATAGATCTGTAGTTGCAGACGCAGAAGAGGAGCGGGCCAAGAAAAAAGAAAAAAGAGAGAAAAGGAACAGAGAAAAGAAAGAAGAAAAAGAAAAACAAAATAGAAAAAAAAAATTGCCAAATGGATGTCAACTTAGGCGGTTAACCGGATAAACTATTGACATTCTATTACTCCCTTCGTCCTATTTTACCTATATTACTTTTCTTTTCAAGTTGTTTCAAAATAATTGTTTCATTTCTTTTTTTGGAAATAAATATGTGATTCACAAAATTTCACTTTATTAGACTCGAGTGTCAATCACATTTTTTACCTTTTCAACCACTTTATTAAAAATTGCATCAAAACTAAATGAGACACAAAAAGTATGGTTCAATTAAATATGTGAACCTATTTGACAATTTTTTCAACAGAGTAATTAAGTAAATCGGTGAACAGTGAATAAATGTTCTTGTCACTAGTGTAGACGCATAGTACTAGTATTCAGATGTTTTATTTTCAACTATTTTTATTCTCAGACCAGATCAGACTTAAACATATCATACCATACTTGAATAGTTATAAAACAAACAGAAACCGTACATTTATCAGACCAAACCTGCAAATTTCAGTCCAAAAGAAAATATTTCAACTAATTATAGATAATTAAAGGAAAGTTCCCAAAATAGGACTAAAACAGTTTGAAAATTCAAAAATATGTCTGTCATGTTTTTTATTCCCAAAATAGGAGTAATTAATGTCAAGTTTGGAAAATATTGTCATTTTTGAAGTTTGGTACTGCCAAAACATGACAATAATTAGTCTTATTTTGTTAATAAAAACATGTCAGTTCTATTTTGAAATTTTCAAACTTTTTTAGTTCTATTTCGGATAATATTCTTGATAATTAATTGACATTATAAGTTATGACGTTTTAGGATGTTTTTACTTGGACTGTAATTTGCTGGTCTGGTCTGGTCTGATCTGGTCTGGTCTGGTCTGGTCTGAACTGGTCTGGTCTGGTCTGGTAAGGTCTGGTTTCTTTGTATTTTTATAACTATCCAAGTCTGGTCTGGTCTGGTCTGAACTGGTCTAGTCTGGTCTGGTGCAAATTACAGTCGAAGTAAAAACATCCTTAATGTGATCTATATGGCGGTGTCGGATATTGTTATGGTGGACCTTTGACCACACTCTATTTACATCAATAGAAAAAAGTCTGTTTTCACTTAGATTAAAATAAATATATCAGGTTGGTAAAGATCGTATATGTATTTTATTATTGTTTGAATATGGTATAGTCAAATCTGACACTAAAATCAATACAAATGAAAACATTCAACATACGGAGTACTTGCTACTCCCTCTGTCCCTCAAACAACTTTTCACTTTCTTTATTTGGATGTCCCTAATTTAACTTCTCATTTCTTTAAATAGCAAATTATCTACCTCAAAACAGTGCAAAACAGTGTCGAAACAGTAAAATTTACTCTCTAATAAGTTTATTTCCTTAATATGTGTAGGTCAAATCGGGAAGTTGTTTTGAGAACGGAGAGAGTATATGACACACTTAGGGGTGGTTCAGTACGTTATATCAGATATTTTATCTCACAGTTTTTCTGTACCAAAATTTTTTTATATGAAAAATGCATACCATTATCGTTTCGGAAAATTCGGTACACTGGAGTTTTGGTATGGTAAATGTACCATATGTGTAGATTATCTTTGAATCAATATAAAAAATTAATATATGTCAAATGGAATATAGAAAATCAATTTTAGTAGTGATATTCTAAAATTATTAATGAAATTAATTACTTCGTATAGAACACATACTAATGATAACTTATTGATTTTCTATTCAATTCTGACCAAAATTTATTATAAATATGTATAAATATTTCAACACGTGATATATGAATATAACAACACATTCTTCTAAAATAATTTAAGCAACATAAATAAAATGACACGATCTTCAAGAACAAGTATAAACAATTCAAGAAACATGGAAATAAAGTTATTTATCGTTAAAATATTTTTTGGTTTCTAGTCATTTTTATAATTATAAAGAAATTATTAATTTGGACTTTTGGACGGTATAACGGTATACCGTTACTTTTCAAAATATATACTGATACCATATCGAAGTAAATCGGTATGGTACCATATCGTACCAAAATTGTCGGTATACCAAATATTTCGGTAAATTCAATATTTAACTATGGTAAGTGTGATATACTGAAATTTCGGTATTTTTCCCCGCTCCTAGACACGCTTGTATATGTTTCTCGGTGTTGTTATGTTTCGCAATGGAAATAATTCCAAATATATCATTAAAATAAAAGTAGTGGACAAAAATGTGACCCTGGTAAGTGGTAACTTTAGTGACTACTCCTATAATTGTATTCCAATGTTACATGATAGCGACGACACACGTACACATAATAAACTATAGTCACATTTTTAATTTGTCCATTAATTTTTTATTAGTAATATTTTAGAAAAAATTTGTTAACAATATAGGCAATCCTAACCATATACCCAATTATCATTGACACCATGAATTACAAGCATAAACTATGTGGATAGCATACGTGAGTAAACATATAGAAAACTCAAGTTTTAATGCAACATGTCTAAATTAATCAATAAAATGCACCTAATGCAATATACTTCAAAGAAATTGTACTAAATAGCATTAAAAATGTTTGTGAGTTTCAACAAATAGCTATCATATATTTATCCACTAAATAAAAATAATTACTACTCCGTGTCATATTTAATTTTGGCATTGCCTACCATAAATATGACAATATTTTTCAAGCTTGAGAGTAAATACTTCTATTTAGGGAATAAAACATGATAGTCTTGATTTAGAATTTCAAAACATTATTAATCCTATTTGGAGAATTTTCCATACACTTTATCATTTACTTCGTCCCATTTTATTAAATATGTCTTCCTTTTTTCATCCAAAAATTATGACCATTTTCCTTGTGTAACTCCAACTTTTACTTCGTGGAACTCATAATATTTGTTTCTCCTTTTGAAAGGTCACAGTTGTAAAATAACAATTGGTACTTCTTTTTCTTGAAAAACATGTATGCCAAACCCAAATGTTATCCTACATTATGGGCAGTGGCGGATCCAAGAAAAAATGTTATTGGGGGCATTAGTTAAACATAATCTTGTAAAAATCGATAAACGCTAGTCAAACGGTGACTGGCCGCCTAGCGCCTAGTACGGCTAGGCGGGCGCATTGGCACGACTAATATAAGGCGCCTAGGTTTTTTTTCTTCAATTCCTATGAATTTTAACAATCTTTCCTAATTTTTTTATTGTATTTTGACCATAGAAAGAACTAATATAATCAATAAATGTCATACCTTTTGTAGTAAAATTATCCATAATAAGCTGATTAATTGATATATAAATGAAGAGATTTGGGCATTTGAAGTACTTACGTATCAAATGGTGTTTTAAGACAAAATGGGAAAACAAGTTGATTCGAGAACAAATTTAGTCCGGGCAGTCTAACTACCACATAGCCCGCCTAGCCACCTAGATGGCAGCCTAGCCCGCCTACTTGGCCGATTGATTTTTCCCACTGATTACTACAAAATTGAGGCGCTTGGTCACTATCTAGGCCGATCTTTAGAACCATGCATATCTAAACCTAATATTACAACATGTGATAATTTGTTTTCAATATCATAATTCATAAATCTCCCTTTATCCCAAATTAAATCTTCCTTTCTAAAATAAAGTCGTTGAATAAGTAAACTAAAAAATGGGGTTGAGTTTTGTATAAAAAAAATGAAAGGTTACCAAAGACGTATTGTTTGCAAATAAATACTCCCTCCGTCCCTAAATGTTGTTCCAATTGCGGTTTACGAGGTTGACCGACGATAAAGTTAAATGATCCCTGTGAAAACTCGGATTATTTTTAGTAAATAAAATTTACATATTCAGAAACTACATTAAACCCGCTACAAAGCCTGCAAAAAATAATTCAACTTTTATAAAATTTTGATATAAAAAGTAAGAGATTAAAAGTGATTTAAGTTGACCAAGGAATAGTGAAATGGAACTTCTTTTAGGGACAGAGGGAGTAGAAGGAAGACGATTACTTTAAAACAACACAAAAAATAGCTATTTGTGGCAGGGGACAAATTAAATGCGGAAATTATAATCAATCATTACCTATTTTTGAAACAAAATAGAGAAAATTAAAAATACTATCGTATGTGAAAGCAAGATACTTGAAACGAGGAAATTGTTGTTAAGAGAGAAGCCTAACAATAAAAAAAGAGAAATTTTTGTTCTGATGAAGTAGCTCTGAATTGAAAAAACCAGATTCTTTGTTAGTGTTGTTTTGCTTCTCCGTATAGGGGCATTAGTTAATCGGTGCCTGGGCTGATGGGGGGCATTCTTTTTTTTTTTTTTTCCATTGGGGCATTATATTTTTTTTTTTACTAAAACACCATTTTTTATAATTAAAAAATCAAATTGTATTGGGGGCATGTGCCCCCATTAAGCATAAGGTACATCCGCCCCTGATTATGGGAGGAGTATTTGTCTAGTATGCAATTCCTACTCAAATAGTTTGTCCATTTTAAAATATTTCTTTCAAAAACAATACCGGCTGAATGTAAGGGGAAAAAAAAAGTAGAAGTATGAATTAAAAGAAAAAAATTAAAAGAACAGATATACGAAGTATAATATTTTGACGATACCTTCTCTCCACTATCATTCCCAACTACCCTTATTTCAAGGCCTACATGAATTCCCTAAATAGGACTAAAAAGTGGAAAAATTGCACAAATAGGACTACATTTTTTAAATTCCCTTAATAGGACTATTTATGTGTGTTTGGACAAATATACCCTTGTAACTTGTGAAATGTTTTAATTAATAATAAAATCATAAAAAAATTAATAAAAATCGAAAAAAATACTAAAAATCGTAAAAAAAATAATAGAAAATTAATAAAAATATTTTTTAAAAAAAAATAAAAAATATTTTTTTAAAAAAAAAATAAAAAAATTTTTTTTAAAAAAAAAATAAAAAAAAAATCATAAAATTAAAAAAAACACATTACCACCCCTGCCACCCCCAACACCACTATCTCCCATCACCGGACAAAAATATGCCAACATTTTAAATAATGCCATAATGATGGCATAATCAATGAAAATGTTGGCATATTGAAGAGTAATTATGCCATCTTTTTGGCATTTTCAGAAAAATATGGCATTTTTTTATCAAAAGTGGAAGAAATTTCACCAATCGGAGGTGGTGGTGCTGGGAGGCGGCGGGAGGCGGTGAGAAAGGTATCCATAATTTTTTTCATTTTTTATGGGTTTTTACTATTTTTTATTATTTTTTTAAAAAAAATAAAAAAATAAAAAATTAAATTTTTTATTTTATAAATGTTTTATAATTTTTTTTTAATTTTTTTACGTTTTTTAAATATTTTTTTACGTTTTTTCTGATTTTATTATGAATTAAAGCATTTCATTATGAATTAATACTCTTAGGGGTATTTAGGGTAGAAAATCAATGTTTAGTCCTATTTAGGGAATTTTAAAAATAGTAGTCCTATTTGTGCTTTTTAGGAACTTTTTAGTCCTATTTAGGACAATTTCCGTTATTTCAAGGCCTACATGAACAGCCTCGGGAGCAAGAGGGATTTCCTCATAATCATGAAATTTTATTGCATCAGGATCATAGCGAAAAAAACCAAAATCATGAACCTGTAAAAATAAAATAATATGTAATTCACTTCAGCACTAGCTTATACGGAGTAGTAGAAATCAGAGGCATATTTATGTAATAATCTCAATACAGTGCAACTCTTGCAATTGAAAACAAACAATAACTATTCTATAATACAGAACAAACATCTATTATGCTATCCATATGGACATAGCAAGGAGCTGAGCGGGACTAGACCAGTACAACTAATATTTTTGGGGGAAAATTACACGAAATTTTTTACATTAAAAATTAAGGCGTTTTTTAAATTTGGGGTGAGCCGGTGCCTAAATTGTCCTCTAGCTACGTCTGTTCATAAGGTGTTACAACTAGTGGATCCGGAGGATCTAGGCGAGGTTTGTGGGCCCAAATTTCAACATGTTAGCAACATTGCACTAGTTTTCCTCTAAATGTAACATTGATGATTTTTTTGATGTGGATATGATGTGGATTCTAATACAAAATATATTCATTCCAATTACAATTAGTTATTATAGATGTTGCACAAAGAATACGATCGAGTAGCTTCTTCGAATATTTATTCATGATTACTAATGTGGTGTGATCTTCTTAATTGTAATTAAACGGATGAGTTTTCATATAAAAAACATAAAACCATAGTAGAGAATAGAAAACGGTGAACATACAACCAGGAAAGATTGAATCAACAAAGTAGTTCAATTTGGTCAAGAGCTTGCTTACGAGCACTAAAGATCTAGCGGAGAGTGCTTAATAGAACTAAATGTAAATTCCAAATTTGAAAGGAAATGAATATCTCATGGAAGAAGAGATCTATTGAGTTACAAACAAAGTTAACATTTTTAACATGGAAGATACAAATCATTGTTCCAGACAAGTTTCCCATCTCATAATAAATTATCACAGTTTCGAGATAATATATTTTGTGAGCTACTTTATTATTATTGTTTTTGTTAACAATATTTTTACTACTATTACTATTGTTGTTATTTTTATTTTTATTTTTATTTTTATTGTACTGCTACTATTACTACTATAACTAGTATCTATCTTTTCCCTTTAAAAACTTATTAGTAATAAAATCAATATGATGATGTTGTAGGTTATTGATCAGATTAGCCTAGAGAATCTTGAGATGAAGAATCATTTTAGTGAGTCAAATATAGAATCAATCACCTAATTTAGCATTTCTTCATCATAAAGAAACAAAGTTACCTAATTTTTATGAACCAAAACCTTGTCGAGTTATATTCATGCGATCTTTCAACCACATATCAAATGCATCTTGAAGAACAATTTTCAGGTGTAGATACATTAAATGAGAATAAATAATTTTAATGAAGTGTGTGCTCAGTCATGCAACGTATTGGTGAAGTTTGTAAAAAGATAGGTGAGATTAAAGTGCTACTGGTTGCAACAACCACCATCGAAAGAGTCTTCAATTCCATGTGATGAACATTACATTATTAAGACATAGCTTCACAATAAGATGAGAGATGTCATTCTTACAAATTTATTCGTGTTTTACATCGTGGGAGACATTTGTAGAAGTATTATTCATAAAATTAATGTGCAACATTTCAAAACATATGAGTACTCGTACGATTGATTGATCAAGACTGCAATAATAAATAATAAGCTATTTAATACTCCCTCCGTCCCAGGGAGAAGTTCCCGAGTTGACTTTCACACATATTTAGGAAATAAAGTTACTGAGGGGTAAATTTTACTGTTTGGCACTGTTTCGACACTGTTTGGCACTGTTTCGACACTGTTTGGCACTATTTTGCACTGTTTGACACTGTTTTGATGTAGGATAACTTTCCATTTAGGGAAATGGGAACTTTTTGTTGGGACTACCAAAAAAGGAAAGTGGGAACTTCTCCCTGGGACGGAGGGAGTATGTAATTAACTATAATTAATGTTAATAACTTGTTTTATCATTTTTTTTATATTTGAAGTTATTATAAAGTAAATTTTGGTGGTCCCTCTTGCCTCTTTCACAAATTTTTTAGGTCCTTCCACAATATACACGGGTAACTCAAGATCAATAGCTTTTTTGTAATATTCAGTGAAGGAATAATTTTAAATGTTGTCGGTATAAACTTTACTAATAATTAACAAAATAGTTCCGATTAATTACATCATTGCATACACAAATTAAATAAATAGATCTTCTTTTATACCAATTCATCCTTTAAAAATTAATTCATTTGTTTAAAAATTACAAATTTCATTCTTCACTACTTGTTTAATGCTGTGTTTAAAAAGCTTATTTTTTATATTTTGCTTGGCAACTTCAATAATATTTGAATAATATTTTTTGTTTATGCAAATGGATAAGTGTATTAATTTTTGAAGAGCCTGAGACTATCAAAGATAAGACTACAAACAAAGATATGAATATAAAAGATACATACATCTAAGCTGTAAAATCCGATGATGAGAAAGATAAAAATATCAAAAAGAAAAAGGAAGATGAGGATAATAAGCTACTTGAAGCGACACTGCCACATGGCTGTGTCACAGGACCACCCGGACCTGTCAACCCGATCAATACCGAAAACCCGGTCAACAATTACATAATCATATAAGAATGAATAATAAAATTATAATTATATATAAAATTATAATAAAAAGGTAGTCATTATTCATAATAATCAACTAATGATTATTTCTATTGAGCATTTAAAACACTCATAATATTTTAAAATACAATTTTAATCATATTAAAATATACTGATATTTTTTATTTGTATCGTACATTTATAATATATGATTTTTATTCTTATACAAATATAAAAATATATTATGCGTCGTATATAGTTTCTTTTTAGGGTATTGGAATTGCAATTTTATGGGTTTAAAAGTTCTTAAAAATTAAAAATAAAATTGAAGAAACAATCAAAACTGGATTTTTTCGGGTTCCCCGGGTTTTTTGGGTCAGGATCCATCGGGGTTTTCCGGCTTCCCAGGTTTTTTGGGCTCGGATCAACCGGGTTTTTCCGGATTTTAGCAATTTCCGGGGTTTTAACTAACCGAATCGGATTTTGGTTTGGATCGTCATGTTCCGGGTCGACCCCGCCGGCACGGGTCAGTTTTTCAAACATGTATTTTTCATTGATATTTTTTTATGAAATGTAAACTATCTAATTATTATTTATTTATGATACATTCTATGATAATAATACTATATGGGAGTTTGAGATGAAATATACATGGCCCTCGTTCATGATAAAATATGGGGCTGGTCATACTCCGATCCTATATCATTTAGATTCTGACTAAATAAATAATATACATGACCCTCTTTTAACGTCGGGGTTCTTTAGATTTTACGAAATATGGCCCCAACATTTTTAAGTCTTGGCTGCCAAGAATCTAGTATTTCTCCAAAAGGTTGACTCCCCAACTCTAAGAGTCCCCCACGCCTCCTCGATCCGACAAAGCATAAGGAAAGTTGTAAATCACGGTGATTCAACATCAAGATTCTAGTATGTATATAGACAAGGTATATAGTAATATAGACAAGTGCTTCCAGGTAACAAAAATGTACAAATTCAATAAAGGTTTGAGCTTTAATTTGGGTAAAACTATCTAATAAGTCTTCATATTTTGTACGAAAAGTCAATTAAGCTCTCGTACTCAAAACATCATTGATTAAAACCCATAGTCTCAAAAAACTATCAATTCCGCCATTTGGGAGGTCAACCCATGAAGCCTCAAAAAACAATCGTTACCTACGTACTGATTTAGCTGCATGCGTGGAGGTAATTAAGTGGGCTGAGTAATGTGGACCTTTAAATTGATTGTTTTTTGACATATGCGGGAATTATCTTTCCATTCTTTAAAGGGAAAAGGGTTAGATATGCCCTCGAACTTACATAAAAAGTTCAAATTATCCCTTTTATAGGAGATTCTGTCCAGCCGTTGCCATTTTGGACGGTTTCCGGTGGAATTTTTTGATAAATTTTTTTGAGTCTTCTTCATTAAGTCTAGTTTACCCATACCAAATTTCAGCTAAAAATTCAATCGGTAAGGCAGTCAAGTGATTTTCTGAAATATACTGCGTTGTTTAACTGCGCAGTTATCTTCAAAAATTCATTTGACTACCTTCTTGATTGACGTTTTAGCTGAAATTTGGCATGAGTAAACTAGACTTAATGAACAAGATTCTAAAAAAATCATCAAAAAGTTCCACCGGGAACCGCCCCAAATGGCGACGGGCGGACAAAACCTTCTATAAAAGGGGTGATTTGAACTTTTAATGTAAGTCTTGGGCTGCAAGGATTCTAGTATGTATATAGACAAGGGCTTCCAGATAAAAAAAGTGTACAAATTAAATATAGGTTTGAGCTTTAATTTATTGACCATGTTTTGTGTACACGCTAGTTCCATGTACATGACATTTTACACGTATGTTAGATTGTTTGTGCGCACACACTTGTTTTAGTTTTGTGAAGAAAGTCATTTTTCGCACCAACAACAAATTGTACTCCGTATATGTCATAGACAAAAGAAATTGTCACTGGGAAAAATGATTTTTTTCGAAAAATGAAAAATATTATCTATGGACGAGCAGTTTGACCGCCGAATGTTGAGTTCCTACAACTTGGGATGTTCAAACAACATTTCTCTTAATTTATTGTCTTAGATTAAGCTTTAAATCGACCTCAAATCTATACATTGCAATTTGCAAACATCACATCAATAGACATTTCGCCATTTTGGGGGAGGATGTGAGCTTCATCTTGAAGTTTGAAATACAGCCTCTACAAATCATTAGACACACCCTCATTATACATGTATTGGGAAGGACTTACCGGGTCTCTGTATATTGGATAGATAGGAATTTCTTCATTGTTCATAAACATAGCTTCGGCCACCACGGGTCCTAAAATGTATAAGAAAAAAGAAATTGATGTAAAAAATTGACAAAGTTAAAAATAAGAAATTAAAAGAAATATCACATGGCCGGTAACTATTTATTTCTCACCTTCAAAATATAAATTTACAGAAAAGTGTAACTTTTAATTAACATGAAAGTTATAACTTCATATTGATTTTTTAATATAAAAAATACTCCGTACAATAAAGAGTTACGGAGCATATGGTTTGTTATAAAAGCTACGGAGTATGTTTTTATTAGTAAGTGATGATATATTTCACATGCATGAAATTTTCTGCTATATATATATACTTCCTCCATTCGGAAAATAACTTTTCGATGTGAGATAAAGTCTTTGTTTGAATTTCTAATTACATTCTAATTAATGTCGTCAAACCAAATAAAAGTAAAATGTGAAGGTAATTGTGAGTTGTGACATTTTAAATATTGACATTTACTACTGAAAGTTTTGGTTTTCTTATGAAGTTTTTTGGAAGCATGTAGTATAATAAAATGTTAGCATGCATAAATCAAAATTTAAGATGTCAGTATATATGCATGCATTAAGTTTAATTTTGCACATTTTAAAAGTTATTCAAAATAGAATTAAAACATAGACAAAGTGTGCAAATATAAGAGTAATTATATGTTATTTCCAAAATAAGACTTGTTTGATCATATTAAAAATATAAAATTTCAGCGATTAGCAGTGAAAATCAAAAGTCCCAGTTCAAGAATAAAAAATCATATTCATATATACGTTGTATATATGTTTTAGTTCTATTTAAACAATTTTCTCCATTATTTGAGACGACATGCATACATTATACGCACCGATAACACACACGTAGTACATATAGTAGGCACGTACCAGGACTAACAACATGCCTGTTAGTAAGAATAATTCCGCGGCGCTTATCGACAACAAAGCCAGTTGCGGTCGAAGAACCGGCGGACTCGGTGTCGAAAGCTCGGCAGGCGGTGACGCTGATCGCGACCACCGCCTGAACTACCTTGTTCATTGCCCTTTGCCAGTCCTCGGCCGTAGCAACCTTCTCCGACGACAAAATCCCCATCCCGGCCGAACTTTAATTATTGCTCGTTAATTGTGATAGCTAGCTAACTAGTATCTTGAATTTATTTATTTATTTATTTATTTCACGGACTAAAATAATTAATCTGGTTTTGCATGTAATTAATATTAGAACACTTCCGCCCACTGCACCTTTGATGAATTTATAGTGGTCGAATTGCTTCAGCTAGGTTGCTTAATGCCGGGGTAAAGGCGTACGTAAAGCTTTCACAAATTGAATCTCCCAACAAGCTATAATAAAGTGCTATATGGCGGGTTAATAGGAATATATAGGACACCAAATTAATTACTCGTTCTAGCTTAGCTTAATTAGCTACTTAGAGTGATTGAAATGGTGTTTAAAAAAATAACAAGTTGTTCAAACAGGAATAAAACATACACAATCACTAGTCACTACAAAAAAAACACATGATTGGCAGATATTTTTTGGCAGGGATTTGTCAAAATTCATAGAGAATTTGACAGGGGTATGCCAAATTAAAAGGATCCCATTTTGAAAAAATTGTAGTATTATATAGTGGTATTATACGAAGTATATTAATACAAATCCGTAAAATTAAATGAGTAAGGAGGAATATCGTAGATCCATTGTTTTTATTCAGCGGTCCTTTTACTCATCTCTTACTCAAATTACTTGAGTAATGAGCTGTGTTGATTTAATTCAAGTATAACTAGTAACTTTTAATTTACTAATTTTTTAATAGTATTGTTTAGTGAGTATTCAATTGATTTGAATATAAGTATTTAAATTGATAATATTTTCAAGTTTTTATATTAATGTGGGGACTTCAATTTTCCATTTGGAGCTGGAGCCTCTAAATTCATTAACGGTCTTGATTGTAGTATCGGATTCATGAAAAAGTGATAAGCGGAAATATTGTTATGAATAAGATTATCCAAAGCCCAAACACGAGACTAATTACATAACATCGAGCGAATATGGAGTGTATTTTGAACTATGTATGTGATAGACAAAAAATAATAGTCATGTATCAAAAATAGACAAAGTAAAAAAAATAGACCGAATGTGGTATAGACGGAATCCTTCTAGGACTCGGTGTGTGGGATTAAGAGCCCATTTGGTAACACTAAAATTGGCTGAATCATCTGATTCTGCTGAAATTTATGAAGTTCTGGCTGAAGTATCTGAATTTTTGATTCTGTCTGCTTGATTATGAAAACATTGTATTTAAAATATATTTTATTATAGTTTTCAAAAAAAAAAATTATTATCAAATTAAGAAAAAAAATGAAAAATAATTAAAATGATCATCTACAATAACCTCCGTCAATTCAGATAGAAGAATAACTATAACCTTACTTAATTTTATTATGACACAATTCAGCACGCAGAATCAAAATTTACTTGTTTGGTGGAAAAAATAACTGATAATAAGTTTTATAAGCCGAAAAAACAAAGTAACAATTAGGCTGCTGTTTGGTAAGGATGAACCGATGAACGAACGTACGTACAGGGGTGGAGACAGGGAGGGGCTGAAAGTGGCCACGGCCCCTGCAAGAAAAAAAATTCTTAAGTATATATTATGTATAAATACTTTTAATCTGTAGAAAGTATGTTGATATTTTCTACTTTGACCCCTGTAATGTAAAATTGTTAAAGATCAGCCCTATTAACCCTAAATGTCTGGCTCCGCCACTGCGTACGTAACTTCATGCCAGTTAGGCAGTTAACCCAAGTGTGGTAGTAAAACCACTGAAATTTGGATCTTTTGTGCACATTTTTTTTAGACTTCGTCTCAAAGTAAAGTTAACTCTTTAGAATTCTATAAACTTATGCATTAAGAAAATGAACTTTTTGTACAAAAAAAATGAACTTTTTGTACAACAAAACGTCAAAACATACCATAGTGAACTTCTGCTTTTCTTTGTCAATTACGGAAAAGGTATCTATATAGTCTATACGTACTGCATGAAATGGTTCTATGCTTGGGCTTTGGGGTGTGCGTACATTGAAACAACTCTCTTTTGTAAAACATAAATTCGGCTCATGAGTCCCACTTGATTTTAAAAAATGCGTTAGTCCCTGTGTTATACGTAGCTGTTATTTACTTATTCGTGTGCAAAATTCTCTTCTTGAACAAATTTAATTGCGAAACTAATGAAAATGATGAGAGTTTTTGTATAATTTAAAAATCGTAACAAAGCTACTTACTCACTACAAAAAAATACGCGTGTAGTCACAGACTTAGTCACGGACAGCAGTTCAAAATTTCCGTGACTAACAGATCACAGATGTAGTCGCGGTCGCTGGCCGTGACTAAATCCGTGACTTAATGGGCGTGACTAAATTGAAGTCACCGCCACATAACCGTGACTAAATGTAGTCACGGGTTAGTCACGGTCGGCGGCCGTGACTATTATCATGCCGGAAACCCCACTCCGGCGTGTTAGTCACGGTCAGGAGCCGTGACTATGATTTTATTTTTAATTAATATTAGTAGTCACGGCTGTGGAGCGTGACTAATGTTTCAAATTTTCAAAATTTTCAAAAGACCGCCCGCGGTTTTAATATATATTTTTGAAACTAGTCACGGGTGTCGACCGTGACTAATTTTTTTTTTTTAAAAAAATAATGTTTTTAAATAAAAACAAATAATAATTTTGGATTAACTGTAGTCACGGATAAGGCCGTGACTACTATTTTTGTTTTTAAAAAAAAAATTCCAGTTATTGTTTTTTTTGAAAAATGTTTTTAAAAATTACTTTTTTTATACGTATGTTTACAAATTAAATTTAAAAATGTTTTTTGAAAAATGAGTTATTGAAAATATTATACTAATTTTTTAAAAAAAATTACATTTTAAAGAGTAAAGACATACAACAAACTTAATAAATATTGTGACAAACTTTTAAATGTTTTGACATACAACAAAGTATAAATGTATGATGATTACATGTCCCTTCGTGGGACTCAACAGCCTCCCAGCACCACCAGCTCCGACCACCGAAAAAAAATGCCAACTTTTTTTCGAAATGCCATCATGATGGCAGATTTTGAGAAAATTTAGCATTTTCAAAGAGCAAAACTGCCATCTTTATGGCATTTTCAAAGAAAAAATGGAAGTTTTAACATAAGATGGCATTTTTTCCGTCGATCGGAGGTGACATTGCTGGGTGATGGCCGAGGTTGCGGCAAAGGCCTACATAATTTTTTTATATTTTTTTAATGTGGTTTTTCTATTTTTTTTATTTTTTTTCAAAATTTTTTATTTTTTAAAAAAATATTTTTTTTTAAATTTTTATTATTTCAATATATTTTTTCAAATATTTTAGAATTTTTTTATATTTTATTAGGATCAAATAAGTCATATTTTAGAATTAACTAGGTTAGGGGTATTGAGGGTACAAAATTAATGTTTACTCCTATTGAAGGAAGTTTTAAGTTTCACTTGTATTTGAGCAATTATGTTTATGTTTACTCTTATATTGGGCAATTCCTCTTCTGATATTGAGTGTTTCTGAAAGGTATGTTTCTGGCATGACTTCAACACGTCCGTCAATTGGATCACTTAATTGGATGTTATAGTTGACCGTCTCAATTAATTTTTGAATTTTTGAATTTTTTGAATTTAAAATAAATATTTTTTGTTTTGAATTTTTAAAGTTTTGAAAACTTGTTGTTGTTGAATTAATAGGGAGTAATTTTTAGTTCATAAATAATAATGAAGAAGAAAAAAAATCAAATATTGTTGGAGTAATATAATGATGAAGAAAAGAGCACAAATATTAGAAGTCAATAAAATTGAAATTACAACAGCACAATTATTCGCTATTAGAATCGTCATTTTCTACATATATAGTATCTTCTTCTGTATCCGAACCGTCTATCCATTCACCTTCTTCCTGATATTGAGCGTTTTGTTGTGCTACATACATTTCCTCAATTTCACGCTCAGATGGAACGGTTAGGTCCGGAAGGAGCGTTTCTGGCATGACTTCAACACGTCCGCCATTTGGATCACTTAATTGGACGTTATAGTTGACCGTCTCAACAATAGGCGGAGGTTGAAAAAATTGTTGCTGAAAAGCATCTAGATCAACGTCCTTGTGTTGAGTTTGTGATTTAATTTTGTTTGGACGGACAGGAGATGCACACACCCAAGGATTCTGGGTCCGCCTTGTTGAAGGATATTCTGCATAATAAATCTGCGTTGCTTGTTGGGTGAGTATGAAAGGCTCATTTTTCGGGTACACACGAGAGTGGTTGACGTCAATCATATTATACTTCGGATTTTTGCGCAAGCCACGTGTGGGATCGACCCATGTGCAGCGGAACAGAACGCATGTCAATTTTTGCACACCAGAAGGCATCTCAAGTTCCAGAATCTCCTGCAGGACACCAAAAAAATTGGTTTCCGAGTTATCATAACCGATGGTCGGGACACATAACCCGTTGTTCGTTGTTGGTCGGCCCTGTCCGTAATCGGCTATGTGATATGTGTAACTGTTTATCACATATTGCCGCCACACTTTGGCACTGGCACTTGGGCCCCACGCTAATGATACTAACAAAGGGTCGACAATCCCACGACTATTGATCTGTAAATATAAACATAATAATAACATTAGGTAAATATTGAAAAATCTTACTTAATAATATATATATATATATATATATATATAATGTGTGTATATGTATACCTGATACTTGTACCAATTTACAAAATCAGAGTCCACCAACGCATCAATTTCATTCTCAGGAAAGGCTGATAAAGAAGCTCGGAATTCACTGTGAAGTCAAAAATAAAAAAAAACTATAAATTAACTACAAATTTAATTTATAAGTATTACAATTATAACTACAAATTTAACTTACTGATAAAACGGTGAGATTTCTGGACAATTCATGAGGATATAAGTATGCGCAATTTGCAATTCCCCACCCAGGATGTATCGTTGTGTCGCAGCACCTTTACCTCTGCCTGGGTAATTGAAGATGGAAACTACATTTTCATATAAATCCTCGCCAATGTCATCGTTCCGGGCAGGTCTCTTCCTTCTGGTGATGACGTCACGCTCGAAGTAAAAAGACGAGAACGTTGAGATTTCTTGTTGAAGATACACTTGACAAATTGAAGCCTCAACGTGTGCCTTGTTGGTCACTTTCTTTTTCAGCTCTCCTAGAAATCTGCAATAATGCAATAATACACATGTTAACAGTTATTGTGAAATAAATATTCTTTTTTTAAA